TCCTGACTACTGGCCTGTAATTCCGCGGCTAGGTTGAAGGCCCTGACGGCCTTAAGAAACATGCGCTTGAGGCCAGACCAAGAAGTCGCGGACTTCTGTGTAGCCCTCAAGAACCTAGCGAGGAAGGCTAATCCCCAGTGTAGCATTGAAGATAGGTCGATGGGATATGCACAGATTCTGCTAGAGAACCTAACAACATGGCTAGAGTATGTACAGCTGGTAGGAATTCTACACCAAGTGGAACCAGCTGATGCATATAACAGAGTAAAAGAAGTGGCGATTGAGATTGAACAATCGCGAAGGCTATGCAAGTTTGAGAGAAGGGGCGCACAACAAGTTCCGACCTGGAGGAAGGCAAGTAGGAATGAAAGGTACGGACGAGGCAGGATGCAAAGTCGAAGCAGCTCAGAGGAGAGAAGCAGAAGGGAAGATGGTGTGAGAAGGCAGGAGTCATTGAGCTCGGATGCCAGCTATGATGAGGATCAGAAAGAAAGAAGATGCTTTAAATGTGGTCACTTCGGACATATGGTAAGAGATTGCAAGTACAGGAAGACGGAGACTGAAAGCGCTACCAAGGCTTCGACTGGGGTAGCATCCATGATAAGTAGGAGCCGTAATATGGTCGCAAAAACCCCTCAAGTTGAGGCAAACGGAATTGTTGGTAGAAGAACGTTGACTCGAGCCAGGATGTTGGGAAGATAGGTGTCAGCACACATTGACACGGGTTCAATGATATGTATACTCCCGTGAAAGTGCTCATAGAAGCAAGGAGCAGTGGCTACGATGTCGAGTCACTTCAGACTTTCGACGTCCTGGAAGGAAGCATATACGACGCATCAAACCATGTGATGAGCTTCCTAGGAGGCGTGATGATAGAAGTGGAACTGGAAGGAGGGTGCAAAAAGGAAGTGTCCTTTCATGTTTCAGACGATGAAGACAAGGAAGTGCTCATTGGCACAAATGCACTGAAGGATCTAGGAGTGGAAGTAGTGATACATCAGAAGCCTGAAGAAAGTAATAGCAAAGGATAGTATGGTGCCTCCACACAATAAAAACACCGCCTCAGTAAGAGCGAAGATACAACAAGGTATATACCATAACTGTGAACAGATCTATCTCAGAGAAGGACAGGTCTGTAACTGTCAACAAGAAGAATTTCATTGAGAGAAATAGAGATGTCAAATCCGGCAAAGGAATCTGGCCAGATGAAGCTTGTGAGCGCAAATGGAAGAAGTCGATCGACATGTAGGAAGAGGAACAAGAAGCACAACCCTTCCAGAAGTGATCGGAAAATGTGCGGAGAGGCACAGAAAGAAGTCAGAGTTGAAAAGACACGCAGTGAGGAAGGACAAAGTTCTGAGAAGGAACGTCCTGTTGCGTTTATTGCGCTAGATGTGCAGGATCACTTGAGCAAGTTGAGCTGAAGCAGTGTGGAGTACTGATCAGGGTGGCAGTATCATTCAGTCAACTCAAGGAAGCTCTGAAGTACTTGAAAACATGTCGTATGTGGATCATAGTATGGCCCATGAACCCAAGAAGGGAGGATGAGGCTATCACAGAGACATTGCGGAAATGCAAGAAATACCTCGACGAAGGAGGAAAAATTATATCCGTGTGGCCGCCACTACCGTTTAATAGGATTGGTATGTGGAAAACGAAGTCAAAAGTGTGGTCGGTGAGTGAATCAGTGCTGGAAAAATGGGCAAACCCAAATCAGTTGTTCACGTTGGCCCCCTCAAAGACAGAAAATAGGAAATTTACCATAGAAGCAAATGAACCCCTAAATTCCTTTCAGGTATACGACTCGCATTTCACGGACGAATATGCGCGATACTTCTACAACGTCATCCGCAGAAGATTTCCCGGCGCAAAGCTCAGCAAGTTGCAGCAGCCATCAAGGACGTCGACTGCCCGGAGAGGGGGGATGTTGGATGGCGCGGATCACCGACCTACCGATCTCCAGTGGCGGGAAGAAAAGCCCGCGCTGACCCCTTCAGTAGGCTATAAATACCGGTGGATAGGGGGAGCAGGCAGAGCGTGAAGAGAGCGCTCCAGGGAGTTTAAACGAGCCATCGAAGAAAGGCGGACCTCCCCCCTTAGAAGATAGAAGCTAGATAACTCTGCTGAGCGGGCCAAATCGGGCCAGAAGGACCCATATTCGTTGTTAAGTGTTCAAGTTGTTCATGTTGTTCGAGTTATTCTTGTTCTTTGTTGCCATAGCGATAAATATTTTTATTCTAACCGTGTCTTTATTGATCGATCCGGTTCAAACCGCCAATACCACTAGACAACCCCCGTTACAAAAAGACAGTTATTCGAATATCGATTATTCGAAAACTTCTGAAAACCGTTGTTCGAATATTCGATTATCCGACTAGCGTTTGAATATTCGAATGATCCACGCGAATATTTGAAGATTGCATTCAAATATTCGATGATATTCGGTTATTCGATTATTCGAATAGTCGACGATTAAGTTCATTTATTCGAATATTTATTCATTCGAATTTTGGAATGTGACCATATTCGAATATTCGAATTCGAATAATATGAAAATCGGAAATCGAATAATCAGGGTCAAGCGTGGGGTGTGGCACGCCACACCTGGGGGGTCGTATTGAGGAGTCAAAAGGGGAGGGGGTCGTAGTTGGGTGACCTGACAATAGCGATAACATGATATTCGTATCATATCCATAATTAACATGTCAATTAACTCCTGTAGACAAAGTGTGAGCGAATTCTGAAGGTTCAAGATACTAGGCTACCTAAGTGAAACGGCTAAATTCCAACATGGTTAACTTTGTTTCAAAGGTGAATCAGCTATTTGTTTTTGCGCCCAAGACAAAGCACTAGCCTTCTTTGTCCACTTCAGGAATCCCGCTTCAGAAGACCTCCAAACTGTGGAATTAGGAGCCAGCCAAAATCTCATTTTTCCCATTTTCAGCTTTTGATGGCTGTGCTTTCACTGACTATTACTCAGAGCAAAGCAAAAAAATCAGGCTCAAATCACTCCTGTAAAAACTAGGAGATCTAGGCTATCGATTCATATAAATATTGTCCGCTAAAATTGTTTTTTTGGTATAGTTAATGGGGTGCGGCACACCCCCTTAAAACTGCCGATGTACTGCCTTTAAAAGCTGCGGCCGCCGCAGCTTTTAAAGGCAGTACATCGGCAGAATGAGACCCGTGACAAAACAAGGTCACAGGGTAGGAGCCCCCATATGGAACCTATCGGCCAAAGTCCAATCTTTCTCTGCCACTTCTAACCCCCGAAATTTCAACGCGAAAGCAGCGCTCATCTCCTGTCCTCTCCGAACCCCACCCCATGGACGAGTGAACGCGAAGCCCGTCATGGCGAAGACGCAGAGTCGTTGCGGGACCCCATGCTTATAGCATTGCGGCTGGCGCTCTGACCGCGGAAGTCTCTCGTCCACGGGGTGGGCGGGTTCGGAGAGGACAGGAGATGAGCGCTGCTTTCGCTTTGAAATTTCGGGGGTTAGAAGTGGCAGAGAAAGATCGGACTTTGGCCGATAGGTTCCATATGGGGGCTCCTACCCTGTGGCCTTGTTTTGTCACGGGTCTCATTCTGCCGATGTACTGCCTTTAAGGGGGTGTGCCGCACCCCATTAACTATATCAGAAAAACATTTTTAACAGACAGTATTTATATGAATCGATAGCTTAAACCTTGTCGATTCCATAGGACTGTTTTGAGCCTGATTGTCTTCTTAGCTCTGAGTAATATTTGGTGAAATCACAGCGATCAAAAGCGAAAAATGGGAAAAACGAGATTTTGGTTGGCTCCTAATTCCACAGTTGGAGGTCTTCTGAAGCGCGATTCCTGAAGTGGACAAAGAAGGAGTAGTGCTTTGTCTTGAGTGCAAAAACGGTTAGCTGATTCACCTTTGAAACAAAGTTAACCATGTTGGAATTTGACCATTTCACTTAGGTAGCCTAATATCTTGAATCTTCAAAATTCGCTCACACTTTGCCTACAGGGGTTAATTGAGATGCTAGTTATGGATATGTTGCTCATTATGTTTGACAGGGCCTTCAAGTAATGCTATCTTAAGTGTATAGTTCAGGGGGGTCTTATTAAGACACCAATCGGGGGGGGGGGGGGTCGTAACCAGCGATCTTGTGCCACACCCCTTGCTTGACCCTGCGAATAATATTCGTTCATTCGAAAAAATTTCGAAAACCGATTATTCGATATTCATTCGTTCAAAACCTTTTCAAAAATCAATTTGATATTCGTTCATTCAATGAAAATTTGCCTTCGTAACTATGCTGTAGATAGCGGGCCGGTGGCTCAGTTCTGCCGGAGCGGCGAGATGCATATTAGTCGCCCGCTTTATTTTTTAGCGGGCGGGCAGCGTGCCTCTAGAGGACGGACGCCGGGAGGCATGATCGCTCGCCCGGTAGAGGCACTGCGCTCGTCCGAATTATTGTCTGAGTAGCTAGCTTGTGCCTGTTGTCCGCGCTGGTGGGGCCTATTGTTGACAACAAATCGTCCTCTATCTCTGTTCGCGTCTCATCGTGGAAGATGCTACATCATATCGTAGCGGACCATATCAGCGTGTCCTTCTCTTCCATCCCTCGACTTGAAAGACTATAGACATAATACCTGCGCGGAATGCCTCAAGGCCTTACAGTCGAGTAATTTGTCAAATGTGCCCTTGCGGTGCCGTGATTCAGCCGTAAAATTGGCGAGCCAATCGCGCGCAACCTTAAAATCTTGGCATAGCAAGGGCACTGTGTTTATTGGCAAATTTGACTGTATACTATACACTCTTGATCCTTCAAGCACCAAAGTTCACTTTTGTTTGGATGTGTGACAAAGTTACATACCGTAACTACGTGTAAATTTCTACTTCTGCGAAAAAGCGTCTTGGCACACGAGGAAAAAGAAACTATAAAAAAGGTAACTTTTATTCCAATCTTCAATGAGGAGAAACAACACCAAACGCTAAATTCAAACGCTACATAAATAGAGGATGAAACAACTTTACTCTGGAGCGTTCGCATGTGTAAGTTACACTTCGCAAATTCGCGAAACTCTCATATTCTTCCTCAGTTGTATCTTGTTCAATTGATTACCTCAACATTACCAACACCTTCTCAACCCTACACATCTACTAATGCGCACATGTAATGTGCTAAACCAATCAAAACGTTTAACAAGTAAAGAGTTGATAACGATAAACTAGATAAACTATCTCTAATACTTTTGGAGTTAAAGCAATAACAATCCTACCATGCAATAGAAATTTTTACTATAGGTCTAAACAATTTTGATCCATTTTTGGATTTCATCGTAGATGGCCAGCACAAGAGCTCCTCCGGTACTACGGAAAATGTTCGACAGTGATCCCTGTAAGACTCACATGAATCAGCTCTAGAACATGCAAAAACCGACTCACCTTGTACATTGCAGCAAGACCCTCATTCTTGATGATCTTCGTAGCACAATCAAGAGTGTTTTTGTACAACACATCGGACCTGCCAGACTGCATCATCATCCGTCGACGCACGGTATCCCATGGATAAGAAGTGAGACCTGAGCTGACAGTCACGACCTGAAATATGGCTACTCATAGAGCTCTCATAAAAGTTTCAAGGCGATTCCATCACATCACATTGTATAAAAATGCAGAACGAACCTTGTTAGAGAGTTGCAAATAGTCTTACATACAATCGGAAACTGTGTGACCAGTATCGAAAGTGGGAGTGACGCGCCTCATCTTGTCGCGCGGGTGGTAATAATGGGAAAAAGGTAGCGAAAAGGGGATTTGTGCTTTAAGCAACGAAAATAGATGGCATTTTGATTATATTTCTAATGTTTGAGGGCTAGCATTTGGATTTCCGTTGGTAGGTACGAAAGGATAACCAAAGGGGAACTAGTCTCAGGTTATAACACTCCACATCTCTTGCTTGATAGAGATATGACTCTGCCAGATCTTGCGCGTTTGTTTTTGTATGAAAAGGCATTAGAAGTGATTTAGAAGAGTGTGCGGCAATTTCCACCAAAAACTAACGTTCGCCGACAGCATAAGTCACAGAGATGTGGCAAAGCTTAACAATATATAGAACGAAACGTACCTGTGCCAGAGCCCATGCCAAGAAGAAGTTCAATTTTTTCCCTTCAGAAGCAATATAGTACTTGGCAGTGTCGAACATTCCGAAATAGGCGGCACGGTAGATGATGATGCCTTGTACGGAGACGATGAAACCTCTGAAAAAGTTAAGTTTGAAAGAATCAACACAATTTCATCTTAACAGTCATTTGGCTCTGCTCAGCGACTCGAGTGAACTCTGTGAGCTACAATTTGGATCAATCTTCACCACCCTAATTTTACCTAGCATGACTTAATTTTATGAAGCACTAGCTGCCGCAAAATAAACGAAGAATAATTCACCTGTAGAGACCAATAGGTCCATCAGATTTAAACACCTTCACTATGCAATCGGTTAGACCTTGGAATTCTCGAGTTTTTCCCTTACCGATATCGACAGCAAGACGGGTTCCTGAACACCAGCAGTTAAAAGATTACATCATAACATAACTGTTGCATACTTGCGAAATCAAGTGGATATACGAAAAGCAAAGACGTAGCACCAGCTGCGCCACCAGCTGCAAGATTGCCACCAAAGAATCTCCAGAACTGCTTTTTCTTATCAACTCTGAAAGATGAAAGCTAAAATCTCGCAAAAGCAGGGCTCAGTTTGATGGAAACAAACCCCTTTAAGAACATCACGTTGTACGTATCCTTGAAAGCAAAGTTGAGAGCTTGTGTTGGGAAATATCTGATGACATTTGTGAAGTTTCCTCTCCAGAGTGAGAAGAATCCCTGTTCCTTGGGGACACGGACCAACACGTCGATGATACCCTTGTACCTCTTATCAGCGGTAATGGTTTTCGACGCATCTTGCACCTAAAAAAAAAGATCTGCAATGTTGATAGAGGACACTGTTTTCATCCACATATCGTCGAGTAACTGAGCGCACAAATTAACCGTGATGCGGAACAAGCGACGCGAGCTGGAATCTTTGTAGCAGTGCAAATCGCCGTCTTACAGGTCGTGCACACGCAACGTTTTACCGTGGACACGCTGGACAAAAATCGAAGTTGCGTCTACGACATTCGCAACAGCAGTAATTTCAAAAAGAGATACAAAGGCCTCCATGAGAGAAGCAATGTTCTTACTAATGAAAAAAATTTGTTGCAGCAAATTCACGAGTAGATGCGCCGCAATCGGCCGGAGCAGCTAACCTGCTAAGTCTGGCACCTACCTTATCTTCACTTCATCGTCTTTTTTTTTCTTGCTTATCTCGAGGGGACCCACATTAATGCAGTCTCCTACACAGCAAAAAATCCGCTTATCACAGACACAGGATTCTTAAATTTTTGACTCTGCAAATCGTTATCCCCCGTATGTACTGCAAATCCGAAATGCGTCGACAAGGCCGGCCAGAGAATCGTATGGTAAGTTTCAGCTCATATTAGGCGGAATTGGACTGGCGGAAGTCCGCTTCGCAGATTTGCGCCGCTGTACGGTCTGCGTCTCTTCATCCTAATCTATCTATCTCGCTGAGTCAGTGGCGGTGCAGACGCGCTGCGCCACTTGAAATGTTTCCCCTACTCCAGGTTGGAAAAGACTGTAGTCAGGGCTCGGCGCAACTGGCACCGGGTCAAGTTGGATATTTTTGAGACAAACAAGCGAAGTATATGTCGTTTTTGCGGCCGAAGATTTAAAAATGGCGACTTTTTTCAGTCAACGTTTCGTTTTCTAGGGAGTGTTTTACGGTTTAGGGTCAAAATGAATTCCGTACGAAATCAGATAAAAGGGGACTTCGTTTTGAGATTTCCCTGCTAGCTCGTGCCGAGTCCTAATCATAGCCAAACCGCAACTTTATCATGGAGGCAATGTCTACCCCAAACTTGGTGACACTTTGATGATGTACAGTCTGTCCGAGTCAATATTGAAGTGATGCTAAGTCGCATCAGCATGATTTCGTCTCAGGGTTACGGTGCGCCTGTCTGCTCTCTTGTCTTTCTCTTCAATCTCTCCGCTCTCTCCGATGTGCGCATATGCAACGCAAACCTCTACCGTAATGAGCGTGCAAAACGTTTGGCCTGACCCGACCAGGACAGACTGTATAGTACGGGGCTCCTAAATTAATCGTCCAAGTCCCGCTGCAAAAGACGAATTCCGAAACGAGATCGTTCCAAAGGGTATGAGCGGCAAGGTGGTCTCTCCCATCAACTTGGGTGGCCTGAAGATAACGAGTTAGGAAGCGGACCTCAGGATACATACATAGAAACGTCGAAGATCTGATAGTCAAAAAGAAGGGCGGTTCTACGATACTTGTAGATACATAGCCTACTAGACTTATAATCTTCAGATCAGACTGATGGCCGTGCAACCATCGCCGACTTTTCAATTCTAGAACAATTTTCTCGCTTCGGACTTCATCATTCATCCCCTGTAACGGACTTAGGCATACTTGGTTGAAAGGTCCCGCTATTTTTCAGCATCGGTCTAGGGTAAGGTGTAAGGAGGAACGGATGCGGTGCAGGAAGAACCAAAGGCCTGCCGCCTGTAGCCGTAATAAATAATTAGGAGGACGAGCGCTGTGGAGAAGATTTTGGCGAGGATCCAGGAAAACTTGGCCAGGACATCCATTAAAGTCAAACCCTTAACACTTTCCTTGAAATCAAGTTTCAAGGATACGAAGGACAGATTTGGAATCAGTATTGAAATGCGCATTTTTCAATAATACGCTTACCGGATAGTTGAACAACTCTGTCTCGCAACGATTTTTACCAAAACCTGAGCTTACATAATTCACCATTCTAAGCTAGAATTTCAAGCTAGATGTTGAGTGAAAATTTCAACTGAATTTTAGTGAAATTTCTGGATACGACGTTGAAAGTTTGAAATGGTAATAAGGAAAAAATGTTAACTAAGTTGCATGTGATGAACTTTTGCTACTGTGTACGACCTAAAGGATTACCGACATAGTTTCAATGGCAAATCCTATGAAGTTTCTAATGCCAAATTTTGAAATTAGAATTGGTTTGAAGCTATGAGACAAACTGCATATTGCATCTTGACACAAACCTCCAGATGTGTTCTTATGACATTTTAATTGCTTTTCATTGAATCAAAAGGCAAAATTCTTCGTTATCTCGAAGAAAAAAAGAATAGATTTTGAATGAAAACCCCGGACTATAACAACTTGAAACTTCAAAATTCAAAACAATAAGTTTCTACAAGGTAGTTGACTTTTGTTACCACTACAATTCCAAATTTTCATATATTAGGCCCAGTGAATGCGCCTTCCAATTTGCATTACAAATCTGTTTTTCAAATTTTTCAAACATCTCCAGGCGAAGTTATGAAGATTTCTTCCTGAAGGATGTCCTTTTGCCGAGTTTTCTTGGATCCCTGCCAAAATATTCTCCACAGCGCTCGCGCTCTTAATTATTTCCTGCGGATACAGGCGGCAGCCCTTTGGTTCCTCCTGCACCACCCCCAGGAGGAACGACAGCAATTGTCAGCCGGTGCCATCACCACACCATTACATTGCGACTATGAGAACGCGAATTTCAGACTCAGTAAAAGTTGAACTGAAAAAAAAAATGCTTTACTCAATTTTGCTTGGGACTCAATAAGTGGAACGCCATTACGAGGAAGAACGTGGAACAACCCCTTTTTTTCGGTACCGTCAGCTCCACGATTCGTAAAGGCAGAGTCGGCAGTTCAAAGCGTGGCGGTTTTATAGCGAGAGAGTACGAAACAATGCTATAACGTGGAGGTTTGACAAATTATAATCAGGGGAAGTCCGCAACCCGGCTCCATATAGGCCGTCCGCGCTGCGCGCGGATAGCAACGCTGTTGCGTACATTGAAGACAGTTCACGACTGAAAGAAGCGCAGAGAAAACAGACGAAGTGCACGAGGAAAGAGGAAAGCGCAACACACACTTGCGCACTCTCCGCGCCCTGCGCGGACGACCTATACCAGTCTTTGCTGATTTCTCGCTTCCGTAACCATTCTGACACTAATCTAGTTGAACAGCAAGAAACTTAAATTGACAGAAAATAGAAATCCATTCCCTGATATAGTGCCTCTAGAGTGAGATTTTCGGCAAAAGGGAAATGAGTCTTTGTGTACGACCTATACGACATCCAAAGCATACATACACTGAATGTAACAGAGGTCATTTCGAGATCAACGCTGAATGCGCAAAAATTCTGATTATGCAAAAAGACCAACTAAGAGCTAGTTTTACAAGAAATCTCGGTACTCGGTGTCCGTGGCATTTTAAGATGAGATGTATACTATCACGCTCGACTTGGAACGCTGAATTTAAACTGACTTCCATTTCTGCTAATCGTTCCCCTGAAAAAGTTATGAAAAATGCCAGGTTTGACCGCCCAAGGAAAATACAGTCGGAACGCCAGTAGCGCGCGTACGCTGCTGTGTAGTGGTTGGAGCGACAGCTCAGGAATTGATGCAGGAGTAGGTTCGAATTTTATTGTTTTTCAGTTTTGCATTGCCTCAATTTAGCTTCATTGTGAAAGTCAGGCAAAGACTGAAAATTCCTGGAAGACCACTCGAAAAATCGTGACGATGGCGCGACCGCGCGAGACACGCACCCATACCCGGCAACTGCTATTTTCTGGTTTTCATCTCTACTCGAATGGTTTTTCTGCTTACATATGATAGCATTCATAGCATTCAGTCACTGAAAGTGGCTGACCTGAGAGTTGAGGTGATGCGTTTTTTCACGAGTGTTTCCCCTCCTGTGGGCGCATAGACCGCAGTCAAATCCATCGTCACGACTTTATAAACGACGTATAAATGCATCGGGAGACGGTCAAGAAGCGCAATTTCTGCGGCTGTCATAACTAAAAACCCATTTTGATGCAATGCGAACTTTCAAAAAGTATCAGATAAAGTGCATTAGCTTACTATTTGTCTAAGGTTACTACCTGCTGAGTTCGGCAGCTTTTGCTGGTAAATGGACCGAAATATTTACGCTTGTTATTAACTGCATTTTCGTGGGTTTTTGACATTCAAAATTGTGTCTTGAATTGATTTCAGGGTGTCAAACTTGGAAAAACCCATGCAACTATCTAATATATCTCCTCCTAAACTTTGAATACTTTTAGAAAGTTATAGAACACCTATTATGTGCTGATTGGTGTCCGTCTGGCAATAAAAATTGCGCCTCTTGACATACACCCAAATGCATCCCTTGATTTTCGAAAATTTAAGGCACCATTTTTATGTATGTGTTTCCTGCATTTATTTTAGAAGGTGCTGATAAAAATGAAAATGAATGAAAAATGAATGCATGTTACACACACTGATGAAAATCTACGACAAAGTGATTGAAACATAGGGGGTGTACGCAATGCGCGCACCGGATAAAGAACAAGTGTTTGCAGTTGGTTTTCTCGTTCTGACCCAACAATTCACGCCACGCGTCGAATTGGGCATGGCTAACTTCTTGAGGCTTGTTTGCTTTTTTGAGTACATCTATCCGAATTATTGTTAAAAGATAGATTTTAGCGTAAATATTCGTTATTTTTTTGCAAATTCCCATATTTTTTGAAGAGTAAGGCATGCATTTACCTGAAGGATGACTCTAGAGAAGCTTAACTGAGGCAATGCAAAACTGGTAAATACAAAAGGATTCGAGCCTACACTTGCGTCAACTTGGCTATCCACTACTAAATCACAGCGTGCTTGGTGTCGAGGCGAAATGTTTGCCTTGGGCTGCCAAACTCAGCGCGGAAACCCTCCAAAACTTCTTGCAGGAAAAACAATTAGCAGAAACGGACGTCAGATTCGGAATCAGTATGGCCACGGACACCTATCGTTCCCTTGACGACATCAGCGTACATCCAAACTGTTCTTTTGAATTCTCAACTTTTTTCCCACCTCTGATTCTCAACAGCCGAAGAAACCGCTGATGGATTACGGTCGCTGCGTTGGAACTTAGACGCCCACTGCTGGCTTCATCACGTATATCGCTGTTCCAACTGCACTGTTAGTGTACTTCCACAACAGTGATACAGTGATACACGATGATATGATACGCAACGATAGGTGATACTACCGGAGTCGCGCACTAAGGAGAATGAAAACACGCCGCAAATTGCGTGCGTATTTTGCGCACCGATTTTAGATCACTCATGCTGTAGTGCAATGCTTCGACGTTTTAGAGCGCAAGAGAAGTGAAGCAATAAGAAGAAAAAATGCAGGGAAATCCGTCAGGCCAAGGAAATCAATAGGAAGTTTCTCGAGGCAGAGCGAAGCGATGTTCGCAGAAGGATACATGCAATCTAAACTGTGACGAATGCGATAGTGCACCGTTCCTTGAGTGCTTTTTGAGTATTTTGCGTGAACCAATCTGCTTCATTAAAAAGCCCAAAACCGATTATATTTCAGCAAGTGTGTGATTCAGTCGATACTAGCGGAAAACTCCACTGTCGTTTTAACCGCATTGGGCCAACACTACTAGAAAAAGGCAGGAAGAGTCCCGCAGAAGCCTGTCCAAAATAACTGTATTGCAACTGTAAAAAATGATTCACCTGGAGTAGAAGCTTCACTCTTTCGATAGGGGCGACCGCGGTTTTTGAGATAGCTGCGGCTGTACCTCCAGTGAGCAAATCGACGAAGAACTTCTTCGCGTTGAAATTCTTCTTCTTCTTGGCGAGGACGTCGACAACGTCCTTCTTCTTCTCCATAGTTTCAGCCATTGTGCGCTACCTGAAGTGCGTGGCGTATTAGTCGATAACTCGCCAAGTACACGTTCGGCAGCAAGCCGTGCACAAACACGTCTGCAGTACGGCCAGCCGTGTTTCAACGCGAACGAATGGTTAACAATTTTTCTAATCGATCGGACTGCTGCCACGTCATCAGCTTCCAGACGTCGCAGATGACAACAAGCGGTGGGTGTTTTTAGCATTTATGAGTGCTGCGTGTTTAGATAGAGAAATACGATCGCATCGTACGCAATACGCAAAACATGGAAATCAACTAATGCTGAAGCCAGCCAGCGAAGAGATCAATGAGTGGTTAGGCAGCCGTCTGCAGCCGGATTCTAGAAAATTCCACGCTGCCCAGCTCACTCGTGCACTTTGCACTAATCCCTCCTATTTTGGCACTATGCACAATTCGCGCCTACGAAGTCCAATAGCTAACCGAAGCGATGCGATTCATCATCGAAAAGCAAAGCGAGAAGAAAGAAAAATCGTAGGAATGACTTGTACCTGTGAAACGCTGCGCTGAGAGAGAACGCCGGTCGAGCAGAATGGAGTGGGAGGGAACGGTGCTATCTGAAAATCGACCGCGTGCTGACGTGCACTCGGACACATGTGTAGAAGTGCACGTCGTCGTCGTCGTCGCGTCGGCCGCCGGCGCAGGAAAAACCGATTGATTGCCGTACGGAACGAGGAACGATCGATGCCTCCCAAAGCCTTTTCCTTCTTTAGCCCTCCGGACCATCAAAGCGCATCGGTGCGCGCCATACTCGCACCATGCCCGCGCCGTCATTGCGCGCTCTGTTCCGCGCCCGCCACTCACTCAGTCGTTTGACTCATCTATAGCCTCGCAAAAAATGGTTGATTGATAGCGTAATGTTGAGATTGGGGTCTGTGTTCGAAAGCTACATCGTCTTACAGTGCATTAACCTTTTGAATGTTTGCGCACAGGAGTGCAGATTTCGTACTGCCAATAACAACGCGTTCCTGAGCTCCATCAAAATGGTTGCTTCTTTTGGCCTCTTCTGGTATATTTGATTCTCCGTTGCTTGCATGCATATCCAAAATTTTGGCGCATTGGTTGCTCTCACAATAAGCAAAACTCAATTTCGTAAATCTCACCAATTTTTTTATCTAGGCTTACGCTGATTACATTATCACCATCTTGCATAGTCCACAATTGTGGCGAGGCGCCGTCTTGATCTTCAACAAAGATCGATGGGTTAGGTATGCCTCAGCACAGGGCAATCGCAGCGCAAGATAACTTGCGCAGCTCCACCTCGCCACAATTTAGATGCACCTCATAGACCTTTTGCTAGGCGAGTCTAGTAAAATAAACTGGCGCTGTCCGGCTATCCGGGCCCCAGATTTTTTGTACTCCATATTAGTTGGCCCAAAACATGAAAATCCTGAATTTCGTTAAAACTTCGTCTAAGGGGGTTATTTGGCACGCGGGACACGAATATGAGGTTAATTTTGCGCTACCGCACCATCCGGTGGAGTAGGGTGGGGTTACGGTAGGGGCTAAACACGAATTTGCCCGAAAGTCTGCCGTAACTCCACCGAATGGTGCTACGGCGCGAATCATATTCGTCTTCAGCGTATCAAATAACCCCTTAGACGAAGTTTTAGCGAATTTCAAAATATTCACTTTTTGGGTCAACTAATGTGAAATAGCGCCCCGTTTTCCCTTACTGCGCGAGTGATGTCGCGACCGCAGGGGACAATATCGTTTGATTTATAGTAAGTTTCAACTCAGTTTAGGCGGAAATTGGAGTGGCGGGAGACCGCTTTGCAGCCGTCCACGCCGTCTTGCGGTCTGCGTATCTTCATCCTAATCTACAGGGCTCGTAAATTGCAGAGTCGTTTGCACCAGCGGTCGCGCGAACGCGTCGCGCCCGGGCAATTTGCCGGCGCCGGCGCCATCGATCGAGGCGGCGCCATTGATGCCCGGGCGCGACGCGTCGCGCGACCGCTGGTGCAAACGACTCTGCAATTTAGGAGCCCTGTATCTCTCTGAGCCAGTGGCGGTGCGGACGCGCTGCTCTACTTGAAGTGTTTTCCTACTCCGGTGTGAAAAAGACGGCACCAACCTGCAGTCTGTTCCCAGCGTCACGCTGGGAAGGTGTGGTGCACTCACAACGCAACCGTTACTCAGCATGTGCGGGTAGGGGAACGAAAGCCGCCAGTTTGGGCCGCCTCCGCGGACTGCTGGTCCTGGGACGACATGTAGCAACACTGCGAAAGGACCAGCTGGCCGCGAAGGGCGGCTCAAACTGGCGGCTTTCGTTCCCCCACCCAGCATGTGCGCAGCAAAACTCAAAAGAAGGAATAAAACAGAGATTATTTAGGTCCTATCATCATTTCTGGAGAAATGCCGCGCCATAGTGATCCACTTGATCCGCTTCATCCATTCTATCAAATCGTTATTGCTCAAGTCAGTGAACTGACCAAAAGCGAAGTGGATGAAGCGGACCAAGTGGATCAAGTATAGCGTGTGCCAAATTTTGACGTGAAGCAAACCAGGAGAATGCCTTCGCATACCAAGTGGGTATAGGCCGTCCGCGCCGGGCGCGGAGAGCGCGCAAGGTATGTACTGCGCCTCACTCCTCTTTTTTCGTGCACTCTCGCCGCCTGTTTTCTCTGCGCCCTCTCTCAATCGTGAACTGCCGTCAATGTACGCAACAGCGTTGCTCTCCGTGCGCAGCGCGGGGCCTATAGAGGACTATGTGTGGCCGAAATACGCAGTCATCTGCAACAAACTCGCAACCTTTCACATGCATGGAGATGTTTCTGCAAGTCCGTGCGGCACCACCCTACATTCGGCGACATGTGGTATTCTACCCAGATGAAGTCAACTCCGGGGTAATCCGTTGACGACTTTTACCATGAAGCGAACACGATGGCGTTATACTAGTGAGATGCAATGAACCCTCTCTACGGTATTGCTTAGCAAAATTCACGGCTTTGATAATTAGATCAACGAGTGTAATGTCGCGTATCTTTGGTGCTACGTATCCTTATCGGCAGACCGAAGGGATTCCTGCTTTTTAATAAAGTGGTGCCGCCCTCATCAAACTGTGAACGAAAGTCCCGATCTGCAAGCTACGATTGTGTCAAGTCGGAGTAGGCAAAATAGTGGAGCAGCGCGCCCGCATCGCTGGAGGCTTTGCGAGCGCAAGGCGCTGGTATTTTGTCAAACAACTGAAGAGAATGAAGAGATGCAGATATGGGCTCTTAGCGCTACATAAACTGTACAGTCTGTTCCAGTCCCGATCAGGCCAAAATCGTATGGCGGAAGTCGCGTTGCTAGGGTTTTGCATGAAGCGGACGCCGCGAAAGATGCTTTAGGCCCGGGCATAGTTTACGCGATATCATCGCCTCGCAATTCTTCTAGCAAAACAACTATTACGAGTTCATCGCATGTCGATTGCCTTGCAATTCTGTTGTGATAGTTAAAGATTAGTCATGTTGGGAAACTATCGCAACCCAAATGCAGGAGGATTGGCATGAAAAGGATCGTAAAAGTAGTCTTGTTTGGAGAATTGCGAGGCAATGAAAACGTGTGAACTATGCCTGTGGCCTCAAGATGCCGGTCTGCAGAGGTGGCAGGCCACGCTTGGACCCTCTAGATGACTAGACCACATTGGCATTCAGAAAAGCTATCATCTGTACAGCTCCTCGGCACGCTCGAATAAAGCTTGAGAAAAATTCGAAAGTATTGAAGTATCTGTGAGTTCTGCTCCTTCCGTCACTTTTATACCTTTTATGAACAGTATTTATGTACAAAATAAGTTCGCCTCCACCCTCCCCTTCGCCAACGCGCGTTAATCTTTCAGGCAACGGATAGGACCCCTCCGCCGGAGAAATGGCAGGGTCGCGGCGTTTCCCCAGCGGTGGGTCTCCCACTCGTCCGGCGGAGCCCTCCCATTTTCTGCTCCGGATACCTCCCATTTTCTGCTTCGGATACCTCCCATTTTCTGCTCCGGATACCTCCCATTTGTGCTCCGGACCCCTCCCATTTTCTGCGGCGCGGCTCTTCCAAATCTGGCGGACTCGCGCCGGAGAAATGGCGTACCTTTGCAGCAGGGCCGGAGAAGCGTCCCATTTGCCTGCCAGTGATGTCACCGCGACGAACCGCCCATTTGCCCCGCTCTCATTGGTCAACTGGGTCCGGCGCGACTCTGACAGATTCGGACTGTCCGGCGGAGGGGTCCGGTCGATTGTCTGAGCTGCCGCACTCTGATCGGATGCTCGTGAACGGGACCCCAGTCAGGTGACGGCGGCCAAGCCATATTTATACAAGTTCGTGCCCAATCGTGCCCGATTTCGACAGGTTGGGCTCTGCTGCCGGTTTGGCCACGCGCCGAAACTTTCATAAACATGGGGTGGCGCTTTCGCCTGTCCGGGCTCTCGTTAATAATGGCCTGAAAGCGATTGGGAGATTGATAAATACTGCCCCAGGAGTGGTATCCATGAATCTCCTGATCAGGCATGTGTCCCTGATCAAGTGTTTGACCGCTCAGAGCGGGCACCCGTGGGAAGCAGTATCTTGTTCTCCGTCCGAAATTACGTCAATACACAAGATGCTGTGCATCTTGGATGCAGGAATCTACTTATTAGAGCGCTGCAATGGCGCAGCCCGAAACCCGGAGTTAGATAAACTGTCAGAGAGATGAAAGCAGCACTCACCAAGCAGTGAGATTCCGTTGGAAGAAAGAGAATGTAGACATCATCATTTCATTGTTGAATAGCAACAAAAGCTGTAACTGGGATAACACCGGTAAGGTTGGTAACACTGATTATACCGATGATGGATGGCCGAACCATAACTTCTTTCAATTCAACGTAAAGATTATCGCTGAGTACAAATCAATAATACGAAACTGCAAGTGGCAGATTACCTATGTGATTTTTATATCTTCTGTAATAATGTTCAATGTTACCGAAACGACATGTTTAAGTCATAATGCTGAATCTGATTGGCAACTTTGCTTTCATGGGGTGTAAGTTTGTGTCCAGTTCATAAACATGCGCTGGTCCATCGCAACGCAATAAGGCACTTTTTACAAGAAATTATAAGTATCGTCAAGGGAGCAACGATGGTCCACATTTACCGTATTTCTCTTGTAAAAGTTGAAGCATACACGTATACCAATCCACGAAAAGCTGAAGATCAAAGCTTTTGCATCATTTATGCTACTGTATCATCTGAATGTTCTATGGCTTGGATGAGAGAAAAAGCCATTTTGAGAATGTTAGCATTCATAAAATCCTTGATGTAAAGATAAAACTTGGCTATCGTTCGCGTTGTAAGGTGATATGTGGTATGGAATAAATAAGTTTACCAACTGATACAATGTGAGTTGCATCTTGTAAAGTTACACTGTCAGAAAAAAAAGGAATGGTTTTCATCGCTTTACAAGCATCACTACTGGTGATCCTACTGTCAACAAATAGTGTTGACATCGTGGGATCAATCATAGCAAAGCTTTTTTTTTCCTTGTAGACGCTGCAGAGATTAAGCGTAGAACAACAAAGCTTTTCTTTCGTTTCTTATTCTCTTTAGCTAATTACACGTTTATTAGTTCGTATTTCAGAAACAATGAGTTATGCAGCAACGCTTGCAACCATGTACAGAGTATGTCTATTGAATCTATTGAAGTCATAGTGCGAGTGTATTATAGGATCCTCTCTCAAAATATTTATCGTTATAACTGTGTTTATCACACATAACCAATCTGTGGTTAGCTGTTAGCCAATCTGTGCCGAACAAATCGTCGCCCATCTGCAAACTGCGCTCTTCGCCGTTGACGTAAATGAACGTTCGAAAT